AAAATGGTCTTGCAATCATTTATCTTGGCAGTAAAACGTAACATCCCAATTGGGACTATGTAGAGTGAATATCTAAAACATGACGACAATGAATAATGGAGTGTGCGCTTTGGGATAAATATCTATTGTATATAAACATCTAATTCAACATGCTAAATCCTTAGAAGACAGCAGGATTGAAATTACCAAATCATTAAAAACCATCATGAAGATAAGGGTGGATATTCATCAGAACCTTGTGCAAGGAAAAGAGCCCATAGCAACTGCATAAACCATCACAAAAGTATACAAGACAAAGAAGAATTATATTAATGCAGAAAATGGGCAACTTACCCTGCTGCTAAGTATTCCAAATGTACATCTCTGAGCATGTGTACCATTGCCGCCACATTTTTCACGAACTCATCATTCTTGCATGATAAATGTTAAGTTTCATTACATCTATAATGTAAATAAAAAATTCAATTATTACCATATAGACACAAGCACTCATCATCAAACTCAATTAAACACTACAATATGCAATAAAATTAATCTCGTTCTCATACAATGTAGATTCTAAGACTGAATTACCAGACCCATTTTATTTTCCTAGTGTAGAAGACAATCTTTTTCCCGAGCATACATCCCTTGCATGATCAAATAAATCATGTGTCAAAGGGAAGGCATACTATTAGGCCATTCTAACTCCATAAGAGCAAATATTGAAAAGGAACTTGTGAAACTAAGAAAACAGAAGAAAATGCCATCAACTGTTTACTATTTTAGTTTTCAAATAACCACAACCAACATTTCCCTCACCTCACAGCAAGCTTTATTCTTGATGTTGTTGGTGCTCATATATCTAAGATTATGTTTGCATTATTGCCATTCTAATAAATGACCATAGGATGAGAAGCTTAAGTTCTCTAACATAGGTAGGGAACAATAAAAAAACCATAAAATATTAAACAACATCATATAACAAGGCATTTCTACTCAGATGTAATCATTTTAAATATATGTCATAGGCCTATATGCATTACAATTCATGGGTCAAGTAGACAATGAATTATAAAAAGGAACTATGTTGCACACTTACTTCAACATCATCAACAACAACAACAACAAGCCTTTATCCCACTAGGTGGGGTCGGCTACATGGATTGCAAGACACCATTGTGCTCTATCGTTTATCAAGCTTTTAGGAATAAAATTGTAAAAGTTCCTCATCAAGCTCTTTCAAAAACTCATAATATTCCACGTCCTATGTTGAAAAATTCAATTGACTTCTATTCATTATTGCTCTCTGCTACTTCAAAAAGTTTATTGAACTTTGATATCGTTCTTTTTGAGCAAGCTGTGAATATTTTGATCATAGCTTCCAAATATGAAACATGAAGTCAGGAGCAAACGATTGCAAATATAATGTAAATAAACAAAAAAGGATCTCAAGGAGGTAAGTCACAAAATGGTTGACAGTATTATCAGTGGAAAATAAGATATAGAAGCTACAAAGTTCAAGCATTATTCGATTGTAATTTAATGGTGAAATAATCACAACATACTTATGAGAAAAAGAAGAAAAAGGATCCAGAGGAAGCTAGCAGGTTAGCCAAAATGATGAACAGGTTTAAAAATGGTAAGGTCTGTCACCATGTATAATGCTTGCTTTGGGAGGTTGCTAATGAACCAACCCCTACAAATTAAATCTTTAGCATTCGAGCGAGAATATATTAAACAATTCTCATAGAAAATAAACTTTCAGAATACAATTAGTTAGGAAAACACTTCCATATGAAGTTTCTCACCCCTTGTTACTTGAGCTCTTCATAGCCTCCTTACTTGAGTTCTTCTCACCCATTTCTTATCACGAATATGAAGTTTACATACAGCTAAATTCATCATCTATTCAAATTGAAAGGAAATCAACGTGCCTATGTGTTTACATATTGAGCAAATAGGAATACAATTTAGAAAAAGCATATTTGGGTTAAAGTTAAAAGTAGAAATAACAAACAGCTAACTTTGATCACATTCATATACTTGCCATTTTAACGCATCAACAATTAGAACTGGTATCATCATCAACACAGGGAGAAAACTGGTACATAATTAGGAAATTAGATTTAGACTTGCAATACATGCTTGGGTTAAATCGTAAGCAATTTGTTCCCGCCTGGACTAGCTGCTTCTCCCCCACAACAAAAGCTAAAGCCAGTAAAGATTCTAGTAAAATAGGAGAGAAGCTAGAAAAAGATCAAGTAAGATCTTATGTATTAGACTCATGAATGTGCAATAATTATATGCATTTACTGTTAATGGGATTAATGGATGCGAGACACGAGAAATCAAAATTGCCGAGAAGACAATGATTTTATGAAGCAGAAGTGTGGTTAATGAAGAATCAAAGAAAAAGGGTCAAGATCGAGGTGGGGGGAAAAAGAAAATCACTACTGTTCAGGACAAACTCACCACCTCTTCCCCTACTGTTGAAGAGCAACGATGAATTAGATGGCAGCGATAAATGTCCTTTTCCTCCAAGCAGTAATGAATACTACGTCAATCTAAGTTAAAGGGGTTATCCACAAGACACGACAAGCAAAAGCCTGATGGCTATGGAACAAATACCATACCCATGAGTTTCTCAACTTTTGAGGCATTAGATCGAAGCTTTTCTATTTAGGAGGAGGATCGAAGCAAAGAAATCCAATTTGGGCTTTGAAATAGTCCTAGACCCAGGTATACATGTACCACCTTCATTAAGAAGCAACTGGATTACACGGACAAGGACTTGGGACCAAAATCTCTCTCCCTAAACCAAAGGAGGGATTGGGATAAAAAGGAACAAATAAAACCACAAAGAAAGAAGGGAAATCGCTTAGAGAAATTAGTAATGGTGGAAGTCTACCTGAACAATAGAGAGCAAACTTGCTCGTCCAGTTTGAGGGTCCAATCACAAGCACCAACGACAGTGGACGAAGGTGGTTAAAGCTAGAACAGGTGATCGCAAGGGAGAAAGAGAGATTTGAGTTGTCCTGAGAATGAAAGCAAGGGCTCAAGTGCAATGGAAATTGATTTCAAAAGACCAACTTTTGGAGCAACCGAGATTTTTGTAATCAAAATCTATGCTCTCAAGATTTCCCATGATTTCACTCAGAGCTACCTCTGCTATGTGATTAAACAGGAGAGTAGAGCAGATTGGCATACACGGAGCTCGAGGCTATCATCATCATCCGCTTTTTTGAAAGAACGAAAAAAAGAGGGAACTTTTTTATTAGGATGAGGCAGTACAGAGCCCATTCAATTGAACAGTAATTTAAGAGAGGAGCCGTTCATGAGCCTCTCTTTAGGCAGCTTATAGTCATTGAGATTTATATGATATATAGATGGGTTTGCTTTTTTACTTTGTGTGTTTCCAGGTGATTAGGGAGGTGCTGCAGTAGCAGGAGGGGTCCATAAAGATGGTTGATACCTCATAACAACTGATTTTGCTCAACGCTGCGCCCTAGAAGCATAGTTGCTGCGAAAATCATATCCCCTCAGTCATTTAAAATTTAATTGTGTTACATTACTAGATCCTTTTATCTCAAATAATGAGTTTCATTCATCACTTCGATTCTTGATCGCGTTGGCTTCTCTCAAATGAGGTTTTGAGTTTCTTCTTCTCTTCTTCTTCCTAATTAGATTAAACTCCTTTCGTCTAGAACATGGTGCCGAGGTCTGGGAGAGGGAAATCGAATAGCCAAGGAAGAGAAGAAGAAGAAGAAGAAGTAAGAGAAAGGTCAGTTGGACAGATGGAAGGGTGAAGTTCTCTTGGAATTATCCTAGGAATAATGTAGTTATTGCAGGATCATTTGACAACTGGGAAACCACAAAATTAATTAGTTGTTACCAACACTTTTTTTTTTCCGTCCAGTTCCTTGATTTTAAAATCATAATTTTGATATTTGAAATTGTCCTCTCTTTTCTTTGTCAGTAAGGCTTTCCAGAGAGTGGGGCAGTTTTTTGTTGCTGTAAAAACACTCCCAGTAGGTATATATCATTACCGTTTCATTGTTAATCGATTTTTCAGTTATGCTCCAGAATTGCATTGGGCTTGTGATGATTTTTGGTATGCCTATAATCTTTTGGATTTGTAGGTAATTCCATGCTTGATAAATCCCATCTTTGCAATTGTTCTGTCTGCTTCTGGGTATGCCTATTCTGTCTTGCATTTTCCCCCCTTCTTGATGCAATAGAGAGATAACAGTTTAAAGCATATTACTAGTTGCAATAGTTTTTTCTCTTATGAATTTTCATTACTACTTTGTAGTAATTTTTGTATTGTTTTTTTGCTCCTGCATCTTTCATGGCTTGGAAAGATGGTAAATCTGGTTGGTGATTGTTATTTGCTAATTTCTCATTTGGTATCTGCTAATTGAGTGATGAGTGATTGCTGATTATTTTAGTTTAATTTGCTCATCGAAAGTGCATCCAGCACTGGTGTAATGAGAAAGGAGATACAATTTGTGAGATATGCAACAAGCAGTTGCTTTAGTTATTATTTATTTTCCTGGTATCAAAGTAGGAAAAAAAAAAAGTGGACTTCGTCAGTATTGCCACCTCAATAATATTCTTCTTACTTTTGCTAGTTTAAGTCACAGTTTTAAATTTTGTTCACAAGTATTGATATGTTCTATCAGGCTTAAACTTCATTTGCCTTATTGTTATATTTCTCACCAAATAAATCTATCAGACTTGAAAAATGTCATTGACACCGTGAACTACTTCTAAAGCCATCCTTACCCATGAAGAACTCATACGCATTTATTACCTTTTTTAACAAAAAGAAGCCATAGGTCCAGGTTTCATTAGTGAGTTTGCTATTGTTATGCGCTACATTTATAAGTTCTTGCTTATGTCCAGTCATTCCCTTTATATATATATATATATATATGTTAGTATCATTTAAATGCAATCACTGATTTTGCTTACTTGACTACTTCTAAATGTTTTTACAGGATATAGAAAGGAGAGCAGAAGCTTTTTCTCAAGGTTACAAATAAGATTATAACATAACCTTTTCAATTAACTGACTTATTACTTTTTCTGAAATTGTGCTGATCGCTGAATCAATTTCTTGTTTTAATTATTTTTTAATCGTTTCTTCCAAAATATGCTTATCAGCTGGTGTTCCCATTGACGATAAGTATTGGCCTTCATTTTTCCCAATCATTCATCCTAATATTGCCAATGAGATACCGGCTCACGCTTAGAGGATGCAATATTTGGCCTTTGAAAGTTGTTTAGGTAGGGGAACTTAACAAATCAGTTTTTTCATTGCCAATGAGATGCAAGTTTATGAGACAGTTACCGGCAATTATGTTAGTACAAATAGCTGATAACTAACCAAACTCAT